TACATTAAAATGTGTCTTTCATAATACACATGATCATTTAAATTATCTTTCTCTAATCCAAACGCCTTTTCTCACATTGGTCCCAATAATAGATGGGGCTTCGATGGTACATTACCTAAAGTTTTGTATTGCCCTAAACCAATTTCATGAGGAATTCAGGGGTACTTCTGGCACTTTAACAAAATCATGGTGTGTTTAGGATTTCACTCTCACTAACTCTTACTAATCAACTTCATGCTCTAAAGTGTGTGTGTGTGTGTGTGTGTGTGTGTGTGTGTGTGTGTCTTGGCTAAAGCGCTGATTGGTAGGGTCCAGGCCTAAACATCAACAGCGTGCTCTGTTCTGATCTAGCAGGGGTTCACACTGCTGCCTTTGTGTGGTCGCAGGCCCACCAGGATGGGTCACATTTGCACAAAACACATGCACATTTATTCACACACAGAGTAAAACACCATAGGAGGCAGACCTCTAAAACAGTTAGCATGTTATGAGGCTGTGGCTGCTGGATGCTGCAAGGATGAAGACATAGGTTGATCATTTACAGCTGTTGATCCTCAGTCTTGACACAGAACAAAGGTGCTACCTTTCGTTCTCTCTTCCTTTTTATGTTCGCACTTGTCAGTTTATTGCGCTTCACTGAATAACGAAACTAGAGAGATGGTTCAGGCATGCCAGGATGCCTCACAGAAGAGCTGTCTGGCACACTTCTTCTTCCTGTCAAGTTTCATCCCTGGTCAGAGTCAATAAAGGCTTTGTCATTTCTTTACTCGGATCCTTTTTCTGCAAAAGAAAACTCAAATTCATGTTTAGGACATATTTCTGATATTTAAACAGAACAAATTAGTTTAAAGCCTTCAGCACAGCTTTTTGATCTCCAGATAGTGATGATCCTTAGTGCTGATGGCTTCTGCTTATTTTAAAGTTCATGACACCTAAATACCAAATGAAGTCTATCTGTATGATGAAGTATATACAGAGGGCATTGGAGAAAGTTCAGCAAACAGTGAATTGAAACACTGCGGCTGTCTGTGTCTATAATACTGTAATCACTGTCAGGACAAGAGAAACAATATATTTATAGCCTTTGAGTGCCTGTTTATGCTCTTCTTTCAATTAGAAACTTGTATTCAATATGCTTTATTGGCATTAACTTAACAAAAATACATCCAGTTCTGTTAAAGCCAGTGCTATTTGAAGGGGCTGCCTCTCCTTGTTGAGACACGACCTATAATCCCTCACAGGACACTCAACCACTTTGTTTTTGGATCAAACACATTACTTTGAGTTGACAAGAGGGATTTTTGGGGGATCTTGTAGTTCTACATTTCGTGATCTCTGGACCTACAGATATGCTGAATAATTATGCAACAGCTGGACCCCTGTTAATCCTGCATGCTCCCTCCCACAAGTTCCCCTGCCACCTATAATGGTGTTTGATCTGTCTGTCTGCCAGTCACTTTATTACTTAAAAATATGTTCCTTTAGACTTGCTGGGAGATAAAAGCAAATTCCCTTCTGCTTTCTCCTAGTACTACATATTTTCATGCTAGCAACCCTTCTTCCCAAACACACACAGACAGAAGACATTTTTCTATTTTCTATAACTTTTGCAATCCTATTCAAATAAAATTGCAGACTGAACTGGCAGCACTGTATTTTTCCCCCCTCTGCCTTTTTTTCTCCTAATGTACTACCATGAGTCAAAGACAACCACAACTGGCCGACATGTTGCCCAGTTGCTAGGCAGTGGGCAGTATTTATTTTCCTGCGAGCTGCATTGGTGTGTTTTCCAGTTCATCCTCATGTCAGTTCAGTTTGTTTTTAAAAGCAAAGGTCAGTTAGGTTATATTTAGTACAGGTTGAAGCTTTAGTTTTGAAGTGTTTTTTTAAATGATACTGTTTGTGAGGAAAGAACACAGAATCAAAGGGAAGACTTTGTTGGTTTGTTCACACTGTGAGATGTTGGTGTGTTCAAGCAGCTGCAGTCTTGAGCCTCCTCAGTCCAAATGAAGCTATGCTCCTATCCAGCATTAGCCACAGATCAGGCAAAATGTGTTGTGTAATAGTGACAGTATCAGTGGTATCAGTCTGTCGTCAGGCCGTTGCTTTTTGCCAAAGCTTTTCCCCACAGAACCACCTGCAACATTGCTCATTGCCCCGATCTAGTGACAGCCCAGCCTTTTATCCCTCAGCAATCCCAGCTGGCCTACCAAGTGTGTGAGTTTCATTCAATTCATCTACCAGTGAAACGGAAGTTTGAGCATCTTAAACTTCTGAACTGTGAAATATTCTCCACTCAAATTGAACATTCAAGCAATGTACTGTAACAAGAATGAAATGTGGGCTGATTTAGAATTTAGCATGATTGGTTGGTAATAGCCTACCAATACTATTTTGTTAAACAGGTGCACAATATGAGCTGGGATGTGATTTCAAAACGATTAAAAAGGCATTTTCTTTCCCTCTCCACTTTAAGGTTATATAAGAAGATTGTATTCAGTCCTGTAGAAATTCTGCAAACCGTTTTATTAAAGTACAAGTGCTTGTTCAGTTGCTGGCAGCCTTTCACTGCCAGCTGGCAGCTGCAATATTCAAGTGAAACAGTGCAGTGCAGGACACCATTTGCCTGCATATATGCATGGGAATTGGGGTCTTTCAAGTACTCATAATATGCATTTCTGTAGCAGCAGTTTCTTGTTCTTTATTAATCATTTTTTGGGTGGAAAATAATGTAAAATCTCACTTTATTCTCCAATTTGTTGTTCCTAAAGTAATATATTTGGTTGTTTTTGAGGATTCTGTCATGTGTGTGTGAAACAGAAAGGGTATCTAGCAGTAGATCCAATAAACTAAACCTATTCCACATGCACAGGCTTGATAACTGGAAATATACTGTGTGTGTGTGTGTGTGTGTGTGTGTGTGTGTGTGTGTGTGTGTGTGTGTGTGTGTGTGTGTGTGTGTGTGTGTGTGTGTGTGTGTGTGTGTGTGTGTGTGTGTGTGTGTGTGTGTGTGTGTGTGTGTGTGTGTGTGTGTGTGTGTGTGTGTGTGTGTGTATGTGTGGCTGAAGAGAAATGCATGGTAGCTTGTCCCTGGTCAGGTCTAGAAAGTGTGTTTTGGTAGTTTTGGCTACAGACTCACATATTATCAACTGTGCCACAGAGGCTGCAAGGTCAAACTCTCCTGTGTTTTGCACAATTATAAAAAAAAAAATCACTCATGCTTATCCCTTCGTTGTTGTATGAAGGATACAGTTAAACAGCGTTGGTGTGTGGATGCTCAATTGAAGGAGACGTTTTGATGGTCTTTTGGCTTGAAACATATATTGTGGCTTGAATCCAACAAAAGCTTGTCAGTTATGCAACATTTTCAATCTGAATTCTGACAAAAATGACTTGATTAATATGAAAGCACACTTCCCATTTCCATTGAATAAGTCTCCATCATAGTTATTTCCCATTTTCTTCAGCATCGAATATGTTTACAGTTTTTAATTCAAGGTACTCAGTGAGCAAGAGAGCATTCCTTCTGCTCAACAATATGGTCCACAGCCTGTACAGCAGATGGATGAGAGCTTCATCGCAATAACATTTGTAAAATTGCCTGGTGGGAAGAAAGGGGACTTTAGAACCAGGAGGTGGATGTATGATGGAGAATGTCACACAGCTTTCAACAGAAAATCCCTTTCACACAGACCACAGAGGCTAACATCCTTTTGGTTTTGATACATTTGGTCAGCCTAGGTTCACTCTAATAAATGTGATGCACACCTTTTAGACGGTTGGATATTTTATTTCAAGGCAAAGTGCACATTCTACAGTCTGAGCTCATATAGTATGGAGCTGTAGGAGCTGACAGCTGTCCGGGAAGCTATCTTAGCCCATTCCTACCCAGAGGCTTTGCTGTGCATGTGCGTGCCGCAATGCCGCATGCTGTGTAGTAGTGTATTTTAAGGGTCATCCCAGAAAGACTTCACCCCAGGCGAGTACGAATGGAGAGTGCACTGACAGGCACCCCTGGGTGTGTATATGTGTGTGTGTAGTGTTGGATTCCTTGTGGCAGATGAGCTCTCTCTGGTCGCTTCAGGCTATTAGAATAAACACAGCAGTGGATAAGAAAAACCCATATCCTGTCTGTGCCAGACATTTCCATTAAAATGTTCACCACGATAAAGTGACCTGTCTTAATATGGAAAGGAGGGAATATGAAAGGTGGATTGTGTCCCTTTAGAGGTTCAGAGAGGTCGGGATGTTGGATGAATTCAAGCCCTGTGTTTCACCATTTGAGTCAGACTACAGATAGAAGTGACTTTCAGAGTCCCTGTAGGTCAGGGGTCTCCAATCGTATTTCTACGAGGTCCACATACAGAAAAATATACGAAGGGCTTGGCCGCTCACTAGAGGTGAGGTTTGCCTTATCAGTTAAGTTATAAGTTAGCAAAATTGTCAATTATGCTTGATCCTTGAAAAAAACTGCTTAAATCTCAGCTCTCCATACGGTTTAATAAATTTTGTTGGCTGTTCATTCCTTAAAATGTAAGCCTTAGATTGCTTATAATAAGAGGAAATAGGAAGGGTCTATTTCAAACTTGTTATGTAAATAGGTTATTGAGTTTTCTTTTTATTAACACATGAATACTGTGTAATATATTTGTACATGTATATTTAAGAAGTACAATATAAAACAAGCACAAGGCTCATTTGTGGGCCAGATTTCATTATACTTTTTGAATTTGCTGCGGGCCAATTCAAAATGGCCTGCGGGCCGCATTTGGCCCCCGGGGCATAGTTTGGACACCCCTGCTGTAGGTGTACAGTAAGAGAAAACAGGAGGCAGGTCCAGGATGAAACTGAGTTCTGCTGCTGAAGGCAAGACTGGGAGGTGAAGGGAGGGGAGTGAGACGAGGGTCCAGATGTGAGGCGGCCTCGCTGGCTGCCTGTTTACATTTCTCAGCTAACGGGAGTGTATTTTTAACCTCTGCTTGTTTTTGTTCTCTCTGCAGGTGCTGGAGAGTCGGGGAAGAGCACCATTGTGAAGCAGATGAAGTGAGTAACTGCTCATTGTTTTGCTTTTCCTCCCATATTCTCAGACAAATTAATTTATGGTTTAACAGCACAATTACATGCATTTGGCATATTTACACAAAGGTGGATTTACAACACTTATTTAAGGATCAGTATGTTCTGTAAAGCTGTTAGAATAATTAGAGAAGCATATTCATTTGTGGATGTTAAAGAAAGTGAGAAGAAGAAGTATCACCTTACAACCAAATGTGCTGGCTTCAAATCTAAGCCCTGTTCCTTTTCTACGTGGCGGTTTTTAGAAGATAATACCATGTTCTCGGTGGCCTACATGTTCCAATGAATCATGTTTTTAATTTCCAGTTTAAAAAAAAACCTGAATAGAAACGAAAATTGAAAATATACAAAAATGTTAATAGGTTTCCCCGACAACCATCTTCTGAATGATTAAAAGGCACCCTTTGACATAAAAATCCTAAAAGTTGCATAACAAAAGTGGATGTAAGCACTTTGTGTTTTTCATTTGCTGATGGTTTTGTGGTAAAACGGTGTGCTTGATGTGACTCTCATGCGATCCTAGTATACAACTTGATGCACCACGTTCTGACCACATACAGCCTAGGTCAGATAAGACACTTTTTTTGCTGTGATAGTATAAGAGAAAAGATAATGTAATTCGTAATCAAGAATAATCGTCTTGTGTTTCATTGTAATTCCCCATGTCAGAGATAAAATCTGGGTTATTAAAACCAAGCAAAATTGTCAAGTCAGGCAGAAGCGTTTCATTATTGGCATGTAATTGTTGTTTCACTGAACATCAAGAGAAATACCAGAGAAAGTCTGAAGGAAGCAGAATGCATTAGTCCATAAGTGTCTTCCAGTGTAGTTTCTAATAGAAGTAGACACACACACACACACACACACACACACACACACACACACACACACACACACACACACAGACACACACACCAGGTATATCTTCTTCTGCTCTACAGCTCATGCAGGGATGTGCCTCCTTTGATAAATGCAATCTTCTGAATGCTGAAATGGTGAGAGCTGCTTTGGGTTAAGCACAGTTAGCATGGCATTCTTAGTTTAGAGCTAACAGGCTTGAAATAGGCCATTAACCCACATTGCTCCATGAATAATTTTTAACCAGCATCATGGAGGAGAGAAACATTTGTTAAGTAATTAATTAAATCTAGCAGGGAGTCCAGTAACTGCGCAGAATACCGATATCTATATGTGTTCTGCACTCTCTATACGTGGACCACATCAGGTACCAAGGTACATCTAATTATTCCAGTCTAAATGCTTCCAGTCAGTTTTGCGTATGTACAATCTAGACGTAGTCTGGTGAAGAAAGCCCACCGATGTTGTTGCTGCATTGATTGTTATCTGACAAGGCTTTGGTAAGCATTGGCTAAGGATATCATTTTAGTCGGGTTGTACAAAAGATGATTGACAGTGCTCTATGACACTGAAGCATCAGCATGGATACTTCTTCACCATATTTTCTTCCACTCAATGGACTGTCTGTCAGAATATGGACTAGGGCTGCACGATATATCGTGTCGTGACGGTAATCGCGATATGCGCATGCATGATATTCACATTTTTTTATTTGTTTTATTTTTATTTTCGGCAAATTAACTCAAACACAATTATTTTGCTGCTTGCTACAAAAAGAAAACTTGCGCAGCTCTCATGTCTGGGGTACTTGAGTGAGTGACATGCAGCCTCTGTATGCACAGCAAACCACCAATCACAATCAAATCTCCAAAACAAACGGACCCAGTGATTAAAAGGTAAAAACACTGAATAAAGTCGTTTCATGTGTTTCCCCAGGGCAGTTCAGCTCAGCTTGTTGCTCTGATCCAGACGTCCGTGACTAAAATCATCCGGTTAAATATAGTTAAAAAAAATACCAATTGTATAGCATTAAAGTTCAAGAAAGGATGGTTTGCGAAAAAAAAGAAAGAAGCCTTTCTCAATTCATGTATGTTTTCATATCGCAATATATATCGCAGGGGGAAATATTTGCATGCTGGTATATACCAAGATAGGCTTCAGAATACATTTAAGGCAAGACATAGAACATACATTTGCTTTGTTATGGCTCATTTTATTTCACATTTTTAATGCTAGAGTAAAAGGACACAACATTTTAGAGTGAGTCATGTTGATTTGTCCTGCTTTCATCCGTAGGGTTAAAATAGGTCTTAAAATATGTTTTTAAAACTGAAAGACCAGGGGATACTATAGCCTAATAGCCTCACAAAGTGAAGAAAAAGTGAGCTACTTCAAACTTATGTTGGGAGGAAGTTTGGGAGAAAGTGAGTCAAATTATTATGTAAAACACATCACTTGATTTGCTGATTGTTCCTGCTTTTAGGCACAGGGTTTAACGGATCTGAAAAGCTGTTTTTAAAAGCGGTAAGACAGTTATAGCCTTGCAAATGTGAAGATAAAGTGAGTAACTTGAAACTTTCTGAGGGAAATCCATCATTCTCAAAGTTTCAAACGTGTTAATTGAAGAAAAAGCTTGATATGTTCAAACTAACATGACATGTCTCAAAGATATGTGAAAAGACTTGAGCAAAAAGGAAGACACACATTAGTTGTATGTGTCTTTATAGCCTAAGCTTTTATTTCTGTGTGATGAAGCACAAATAAAAGGCTGGGGTCATGTTTGAGGATCAATCTTGTCAGCCTTTCTTAAAACACATGTGCACAACACAAATACCAATATCTCTAATTACCAAAGTTATTTATCTTTATAAATGTTTTGAGCTTTAATGTTTGTAATCCTCTCACTGAGATCACGTTAAACCCACTAACTGTATATAGACTTGTTTCACATGTTGACTCGCCATAGCATGAAAAATACATGAATAACATTATTGATGCATACACTAAACCAGGGCTGTTGCAAATGTTCCCTGTGAAAAAGATCTAGCTATGCCTTTGAGTGACGGAAGTTGGAAGTGGAAAGAGCACAACACCGCAGTCTTTTCTTACATTCAGAGGAGTAGCAGTGACTTCTTTCGTCTACCTAAAAATAGAGAACAAACATAACTCAGTAAAAGGAACCCCTCAGTCTCACACTAGATCCAGACTTATATGAGCAACGTTTCTCTCTGGTTCTCTCTTTTTATGTAAGATAGACACATAATGGATTTCAGAGCCTCTCTTTGTAGGATTTTCTATTATGACAAAAGGATTCAATTACTGTATGCCTCTCTGACAGTCACAGGAAACTGCAGTACTAATGATGGGGTTTATTTGTATCTACTTCTTAGGAAGAAATCAGAAAAGTTCCCTCTTGTTTCCACTACACATACATGATGCGACTTAAAGGATAATTCTGCTTAAAAAAGTATAACAGTCAAAATAAATGAAAGCATTATTGATGGGATTCCTATGTAATCCAGTGTTATTGTATCCTGCTGAAAACCTCCCTGAATGAAACACGACTTGCAAGTTATTATTAACACAAAAGTATTGAATTATTTAAAAAGGGGAAGGATGCAGCTGAGGCCCACACGATATCACTACAATGGTCATGTTGTGGTGTGGAGAGCGCCTTCATCTGGTCATTTCAAATCCCTCTTTGGTTTTGTTTATCGTATATCATGAACTATAGTTTGTTTAGGTCCTTTTTGGGGTTCTTTGGTTCGGCTCAAAAAATAAATCTAAATGTTTTTGGAATCTAAATGTTATGTCATAATTGAAATTACAATATGTATTAAAGACAACATATAATATAATAATATTCTTAGTTAAATTGAGATGTTGCAGTTTACTAATCTTATTGTATAGCTTAACTTAAGAAAAAAACTTTGTACAGATCTTCACAAAAACTCACAATTTCTTATTTGTTATGATTATTTTCAGTGAAAATTATATAAATCATCCAATGTCCACATCTTTCAAATGTTGGATACAGATTCAAATACCTACTTAATAAGCAGCTTCTAAAACAAACTGTGCAAAGTGCTTCATGATCATGTCATCAACTATTAGAAGTAATGTTTGAATGAGGGAGAACAGAGTGGGCTTTGAGTCTCTTGGCTGGGCCTCACAGTGTTCACAGCGGGCTCACTTGCATTTTAATGAGCTCCCATTCAGCACATCACACAACCAATGAGCATCCTGGCTCTGGTCTCATGGTAGACAAGAGGAGATGGTTCTGTTTGGTTTCAGTCTGAGCCCCATTTTTTCAAGCGCATGCCTCTCTCTCTATGTAACTCGTCCACAGCCCCACAAGGCAAGAACGTTTGATTCTTCTCAAATCTTTGGCAGTTAATTTGCGTCTTTTCTCTCAACACGTTTCTTGCGACCCTGTTGACTATTTATAACAAACGTTGTAAGGTTCTGTAATCACGAAATATGTGACTTTTCAGAGTCAGTTTAATCCAATTTTTGGCCCATTTCGCCTGAGGAAAAGAAGTTGCCTAATAATTATTCACACCTTCATTTAGGGTGTTGATCTCCTTAGGCTACACCCTCCCTCATTACACAAATAGACATCCCCTGATATGCTTAAATCCAATAAGCATTCAAGTTTATACAGCTTGAAAAAAATACTCACTTGCCTTATCATTGTGTCCTCTGTGTATGATGTCATACATGCAGGACAATATACTCTTTGATGAATCTAATCAAGTGATAATTATAAAACCTTAACTTAAGTTATTGTAAACGACAACCGTTTCCAAATGAGATTAAATACTCAGTGAGATCTGAGGCAAAAAGCCAGCAAACACTATTTAACACCATTTGATGTAATGTGTAATCATGAATATGCATGTTATGTTTCATTGTCACATGTGATTTCATCTACATTTACATGCCATTTTTTTCCCTTTTCCTCCCTTCCTCTGCTCCGTTCTCAGGATTATCCATGAGGATGGGTACTCAGAAGATGAGTGTAAGCAGTACAGAGCCGTTGTCTACAGCAACACAATCCAGTCCGTTATGGCCATCATCAAAGCTATGGCCAACCTTAAGATCGACTATGAGGAACCTACAAGAGCGGTAGGTATCTGACAATAAAGTTGAAGGTTTTTACACACCATCATCCTCTGCAGCAGCAAGATCAAGGACAATGTTTGAATTGTTTTGGAAAATATTATGCGGCTGCTAGCTTAAGCCATTACAACACTCAAAAGACCAATGTTCTTTTAAGGATTTAAGTAGGAGTCCAATTGTTCCCGTGTTTGAGGTAGTGACAGAATTAACTGATAACCTGTTAAAGTACAGTGTAATATATCTGTTATATCCTCTCTACTAATCACCTCCAAAGCCTCCACCGCCTCCTTCCTCACCGCCTTCAGGATTTGAGGCAGCAGGAATTATGCAGCTAAAGAATTTCTCTCGAGTGCAGTGTGACAGTCTCTACTCGGAAATCAACTCTGGGTAGCAGATGCTTAAGATGGACTCCTACAGTGCCATGTATTTTCAGTTTATAACTGTGTTTGTGTGTGTGTTTTTAAACAGTAAATCATCTCCACCCGGGGAGATAAGGTGACAGAAATACAATTCTGGCATTACTCATGAGAGTCGAAAATGCCATCATCTCATGAATGTGATTCATATATTCTATTTTCACAGATCATTTGAAAGATAATTTCTATTATAAGATAAGTAAGTATCTGGAGAAGAGTCTCTATAGTTCCTTATGATGAATCAATCTGTCAACTCCTACATCGAAGTGAACCTAAAAAGATTGTGTTTGAATTGATTACATGGGGAGAGAAGGAGAAAGCTTGTATTCCCTTGGCACAGTCCAACATTTCACACCAATTACACATATTTCAACTCATGTTATACTTCTATAAAAGTAGATGTATGTTTCTACACCAAAACATGCCTTCATGCAGGCAATTCAATTTAGACCTATTTGTAAAAAACATTACTTTGCAGTTTCTGTAAATCTTTGATGCTTTTTGTTGTCTCCAAATTTCCCTCTCCTGCGTGACCTTCAGTTGGAATTGGATAAATATGGGGGTTTTTGTATGAAAAGAGCTTTTTGACTACTTGGCACATGTGAGGATCCGCTCTGCCAAGGGAGCTAACTCAGCATGACGAGTTCTGCTGGACGGAGTGAATTAGTTTATTTGAGTTTATTTGAGAAACACCGTCCACCACAGCTATGACCTACAGAGAGGACAGACTAATCTGGAACATTTCACAGTTTTCAATTAAAAAGACAATATTCGTCTCACCGTGAGAGAAAACGCAGTCAGCATTCAGCATTATTCTGAAATCAGCATCTGACCTAATGGGTTTGTTTGATCTCTTCATGTAAACACAAGAAACACGCTGCTTTCACTGTTTGCCAAATGTGACAATTCCTGCAGACAATTGGTAACCAAGTAGTATTTGATACAGCGCACACATCACTCATTGGTTGGAGTTTTCTTAACTAGTTTTCCAAGATGTGCTGCTTACAGATTTGCAGAAGTTGCAAACATTATTCATGACAGGGTCATAAGACTATTTCAGGTCGAATAAGCTAATTATTAACTAATCCATGGAAGTTTGCTCTTAATACCTAACATCAAAGTTTACTTAAGCCTTCAAACACAGCGGGTCAGAGGGGTGCGGTGGAGGTGATGCCCTTCTCAGAGTCCCAGTGAGTGCAAACTAAGTACAGTTACAAAATGTCATTGCTCACTTATTATGTCTCAGGGTAACAAAGGCAAGTACATGCCATTACTTTTAATATTAAAGGCAATTTTATTTATACAGCACTTTTCAGCACGTGGCGATTCAAAGTGCTTTACAGATTAAAAGCAAAAGACATTTAAGAACAAATACAGCATAAATACATTATTAAAAAGGCATATTAATGTCCTGCCTGCCATTCGATGCATCTGCTTTTCCAGGCCACTTAACTTTAATAGACGGATTCATTACCGTGCAGAGTTTATGGCAGGTGACTGTGAGACGACACAATGGCAAGTAAGCCAATGATCGATCCTTCATTTCTGGTTCTTTACTCTTCTGTTTACTTTTACTGTGTCTTCACTTCCTTCAATATCATTTGTTGTGAAAGTTTACAGTTTGACATTAGACATGTCTGATTCTATGGAGTGCAGAGGGCTGCAGGAAACTTCAAATGATATAACATTTGAAAAAATGCTGTTTCTCTTTCCATCATAGGACTGTGTCCATTGGTCGGAGCTCTTATCTGCAGTGTCTAAGTACAGTTGTTTTTAAAAACACCAATTACCACAGGCACATAATGTTTCCCCTCGCTACTTCCAGCTACATTTAAAAAAGCCTCTGTCACAGTTAGCTTAGAAGGTCAATGTTGACAACAATACTTATTACATGGCATGCAGTAAACTGTTGTGGTCATTCTTTAGTGCTTTTCATGTTGAAGGCCCATATGAGATTTGATTCTCCAAGTAACTGTTTTAAAGGTTATGTGTTTGGGAACTGTTCTTCTTCTTCTTCTTCTTCTTCTTCTTCTTCTTCTTCTTCTTCTCGATTAGCTGAAATCTGAGGAATCTGTGCTGATGTATAGTTGTTTCATCACAATTCTAAACTCTTTGTAATACTAACATGCATCCATGCCCACCATTACTGGGCCCTGCAGAAAGTGGGATATAATTAGCCATGTGAAAAAGATGTGCTAAATAAACTCTGCAGTGCTTATCAGCTTTGTCCATTGAAAAAGAAAAACAAGTGATACTAGACTTTGTATCTTTCTGTGAAATCGGCTCGATCTAATGTGTTGTGTGTGTCTCTTCATGTCAGGACGATGCCCGCCAGCTGTTTGCTCTGTCCGCAGCAGCAGAGGAGCAGGGCATCCTGCCAGAAGATCTGTCCAACGTCATCCAGCGGCTGTGGGCTGACGGTGGTGTGCAGGGCTGCTTCACACGGGCCAGAGAGTACCAGCTCAATGACTCAGCAGCATAGTGAGTGCCTTAATGACATAAAATAACATCAGAGAGCAGCTGCAGTTATTAATAATGAAGGCCTGCTGTTTTGTTTAACCCAGGGCTTTCACTTTCAAACACCAGTTGTGTCGCTAATCCACAACAACATGGCAACCTCAGCCTCTCTCCGCTGGCCTTAATTACTTGAATGAATCTAATTTCTGAGCACTCAGTGTTTTTGGCAGCGTTGTTATAATGTACCAGTATAATAAACAGGGAGAACATGAGGTAACTGTGAGAGGCTGCTGGTAAGAGGTGAGAGGTTATCACTCGTACCCTGTGGGATGAAATCAGAGAGCCTGAGTCTTGTCGCAAGCTGCAGCAGGAATTAGCTGATTTCTGTTTAATACACTCAGCCTTTGATAACACCATGACACTGCCAGAATGTGCGCTGAACTGTCAGGGAGTGTTAACTCTTTCACAAGTGATTGCTTTGCAGTAACGGCTGTATTATCTTCCACGGGGAGCGATATTGTTCTCTGTTTGTGTTGGCTGGTATTAGCATAGCTTCACCTTCTCTGCCTCACTGCTCTTGTTAAGGCTGAGAGGACCTGGAAGCTAACAGGCTAACATTTAGCAGCTCGGAGATTGGACAATGTACCGTCATGGCTTTGTCGAGCTTTGAGAGAGTTGGTTGCTTTAAGAGGGAACTAAATGAGTCTGGCAGTAGAGAATAATCCATGTCTGAGCACCTGCTGAGAGCCAGGGAAAGATAAAGCGAGAGAAATGGCACGGCTCTCATTAACTGAACCTCTCTGCTATGACTGGTTTGAGAGAGAGGGACGTGTAATTTACACTCAACTAAAAAATTAATCCAGCTGCCATTATTTTAGGAAAACCACATTTCTGGGAGTATCAAAATGAAACAGTCACTCCTAACTCTTTAATTATTCTGTGTGATGAATATAAAGTATATTAGGGTTCCACACTAGGTCACTCATAATTGTTTACTTCACGGATGAAAAACATGTTGAAATGGTTTTAATTGTTCTTGTAAAACCTTTTTAAAATGACCAATATTTGACCTTTGACAATTATTCTGTCACATTACATTTGAATGCCTTTATGTATTAAAGTGTAGGCAGGCCAAATTAAATTACTCTTAAAGGCTTATAACTGCAATGGCTAAATCAAGCTGTGCTAATGATGTGTGGACTACAAAAGCATCCTAACCCTCTGCCCGTGTGGAGCAGGATTATGATTAAACTCTTGTGGCATGAACTAGTGGTGCAGAGGCTCTAATATCTACAGCCGGGCTGAATGGGATAACATCCAGCAGCAACACTTTGTTTTATAACATCGTTTTCTCAAGCTAGTTAAGTATTCTGCTGAAAGAATTACGTAAAAATGTACTTTTGGGCTTTTATTTGTCGACCAGGGTAACTTTATAGTTGTGAAAGTGGATTGTGGTCTTATAGTTAGTGTTTTATCAGGCTTTGGGTATGTTGAACAGTGTGAATGCTTTATTGTTTGTTTTTGAACAAACACAGTTTTTCTTCTAAATAGATTTGAAAGAAAATATAGAGACAAACAGAGGATAGTGTCAAGATATTACATTGAAATATAGGTTTTTACATACAAATCATTATGTATTGTGTGCACGTGGATATGAACGGATCTCATTGCAGGATTCAGTGTATGCATTGCTTTAACATACTACATGATTTTGTGATTGCTAACAAAGGAGACAGAAAGCTGCTACCAGAGCTTTCCCTTACCATGATCCACATCATTTGTTTACCTTGCAGTGGATGCTTTCCCATGGCTGGGATAGTACAGAGTATGTGATATAATACACATCTTTACAATATCTGTATTCAATTGCATGGTCACAGACAATATATCGTATGCTCCTGTCAATAATAGAGATGTTGCATATCTGTTCAGGCATTCAAAAAGTCAGCAGATATTCAGTTTTGGAAATAATGTATTATCTTTACACTTTCATATCAAGACCCTGAATACTGGGTGCTTGATCATTCATGTCAATGATAAAAAAGAGACTAGGACAGCACGTCAATTTGGCTTTTAAATATTACCACACGAATGTTAATCCTACTCGTGTGTTTTGCATACATGCTGAAAAAGGACGTCTTGCCCCATTTTTTTAAGGGTTTATTTGGTGTGTTGTCCTAGTTTTCCTTTCCTTTGCTTACTGTAATGTACATTATATAACATGAATCTTCATGACTGTGTGATCTGGTATAGCAGGGGTAACGCAGCAGCCTTGTACAGCTCTCATCACTGTCACTTTGTAACTGGCTGTGCTGAGACGACACAGAGCTGTTAGCGGGCCTTCTGTACTTCTCATGTCTGTGAGAAGGAACAGATGAGACCTTTCACCTGAAAGAACCCAAACCCTTAACATCTTAAGGTCCCTTTATTTCTGCGAGGTTACTGCACAGTGTTAATATATATGGTGCGTGTCCTTGTTCCTGACAGCTATCTAAATGACCTGGAGAGGATAGGCAAGCCAGATTACATCCCCACACAGCAGGACGTGCTGCGGACCCGAGTGAAGACCACGGGCATCGTGGAGACACATTTCACCTTCAAGGATCTGCACTTCAAGTAAGACACTCCCTCCTTTCACAGTTATTCCTTTAATCTTCATTTTGTAAAATGCTAATAAAGTATTAAAGGTCTAAAAGAATCAGTTTATATTGTACAGCTAAATATTTCATTTGCAAAAGAGACACATCATACTCGTTTACATAGAAACTGTCCGTGCTAATCTAAGGTAAGGTAAGTTACGTTTATTTATATAGCCCATTTTCAGACACAGAGGCAATTCAAAGTGCTTTACATAATCATTAACACTTAACAAGAAGACAACAGAAAGGAACACAATAAATAAACATAATGGAATAACAGATTCATAAAAACCATGCATAAAAGAGATACAGAATAGTTTAAAAACAACATTGTAAATACGGTAGGTGCTAAAGCAAGTTGAAAGACTTCTGGGTAAGCAGAGGAAAAAAGTAGTGTTTTTAGCTGTGACTTTAATGAACTCAGCGTTGGTGAAGACCTCAGGTTCTCTGGAAGTTTGTTCCATTTGTGGGGAGCAAAAAAACTAAAAGCAGCTTTGGCGTGTTTGGTTCTTAGCCGGGGTACAATGAGTAAGCCCCCCCC